CCAGAGGCCAACTTCTTGACCTGTGATCCCTCAACCCTACCTGTCTCGCTTGGGCCTCACCAGCCCTTCGCAGAGGGGATTTTGCCCTCTAGAAGGATCACACCCATGCCTGGTCATGCACTCAGAAAAGATGGATCCCCCTTTCTATGGAATGGGGCAAGTCTGAATGGTCAAAATACTGTGAGATCATAAGTATTGGTGACATTAAGTGGGTTATAAAAAGATAACAGAAAGATTTATTAGAGAAAACAAGAACAAGCATAAGGAGTCAGTAACCATATGTTGAGATAGATGGAGGTCTAACAGTAAACAAACAAAAGAAAACAGCAGAAGAACATTAACCTGTTCTTACTCTAGACCTCAAATCCAAAGTTACAGTCCTTAGCCAGATTTACGAGGTTAGACTGAAGACCCTGCCTTTGACCCTTCAGAGTCTTCTGCATCCTCCTGTTAGCTTCTTTGCTTAGTTTGCTTTTCTTAGACCAGGGATGCTCAACCTCCGGCCCATGGAACCATCACATCTAGCCTGCGCGGCTCCCTATGGGGTGAGAAATTTGGCGGTAGGGGAGCAGTGGGTATTACAATAATCACCACCACCCCCTGCCAAATTCCCAGACCCCAAGTCTCACACTGCCATTTGCAGCCAGGCCACACCCCTTCTCCCAGGGGTTTGGTTTGGGGACAGGCTATGCCCCCTTCACCCCTGGGGCCAAGCCGTACCCCCTTTCCCCATGGAGTCAGGCCATGCCTCCTTTCCCCAGGGGTTCTGTTTGGGGGTGTCTGCTGCATTGTAGACCTGGCTCTTGGTGTCTTTCTGGAGATCCTGAGGAATAAAAACATGCCAAAGCAATTTCCCAAAGGAAGCACTTGCACACCAGATCCTGTGCTGGATCTCCTCATCAATGTTTACCTCTCTGAGAGGGGTGTCTACCGAGAAGAAGTGCTTGACTACCTCCTAGGGTGTTTTCCTTGATGGTAACTTTGAGACGGAGGTCACATTCATGACCATTACCTCTTCTAAGTTGAGGGCTGCTTAAGTTAATCAGTAGTTTACTGACACCTCCTTGGCTGTAATATAAAGGTACATCAGAATTACGTTTCTGTCAAATACTATAACAAAGCAGTACTCAACCCCCATATCTGGTTCATAGAGCTGTGGCAACTCCCAGCCAATGAAGTTCCCCACAAGTCAGGAAATTTGGTACTATGGGAGCAGTGGCAATCAATACTGCCAGCCCGCCTCCACCATCAAATTCCCAAGTCCTGTGCTTCCAGATTAGGGCCAGACCAAATGTCCCCTCCACCTGCCTCTCATACAGCCAGTTTGGGGCTAGGCTATGCCTGCTTCCCCCATGTGGTTGGGTCAGAGCCAGGAACACTTCCTTCCTGTGTGGCTGGATCAGGGCCAGGTTAGGCCAACTGGCTGAATCTGGCCCATGGAGGGACTGGGCACCTTCTGTCTGGCCTGTGAGGCAAAAAGGTTGAGTGCCACTGCTGTGATGCATACGTATAGGAGAACAATATGACTGAGCACAGCTTTGTACTAGCTGCAATTAGAGAGAACCTAATTTGGGAGAATATCCATGTATGTCACAAGGTGAACCCCCAGAAGTATCTTTGTCTTGGGGTGGATCCGTGACAGTCATGTATATACAACTGCTGCCTTCTGGGGAGATCACAGAATGCACATTATGTAAAATATTTTTGTTTCTTATTCACATTATATTTAATAGTTTATTTTGCTGTATCTCAATTGTTATAGATGGGCATTGGTATTGCTTCAAGATTTACTAGAGCAGGGGTATCAAATGCATTGGACTGCATGGACCAGATGAGGTGTGCGGACCCAGTCCACAGCCTAAATCAGGCCCATAGACTGGCCTCATGGGCCGGGTCCAACATGCAGGGCTGGTCCAGTGCAGGTGTCTCATGTAGTGTACAGCTGGGACCACACTTGGCCTTGCACATCGTGTGCAGTGCACACTCAGAACTGGTCCTGTACACTGTGTACAGTGTGTGGTGATGGGGCTGTTGCAAGCTGCAGTCCAGTCTGGTTCAGTCAGAACCCACCACTGGCCAGATGACAGTCTGTAGGTTGGATGAGACCTGTGTGCTGTATTTTTGACAGCCCTTTACTTGAGTGATATACTGTTGAAATCAATAGGAGGCTGCATGTTCTACAAGTCCATGCCAGGAGATTCCAATGTATAGTCCAGTATAGTTATACAATAGCTTATGTAAGAAAATATTTGTTTTATGCTACTCTTCAAAATAATATGATTCATTCAAAAGAATCGCCAAATGTTTCTTTGAATTAATTTAGTCTAGGTAGGGTCTGCTTACAGTCAGTTGCAATTCAGTATAAGTTCAGGAATTTTAAAATGTTGCCCACTAGATGCCAGTATAACCAAGAACTTCCCCCCCCAAAATAGACAACAAGGATAAAGCATGCAGCAACACTGAAACCTATGTGCTTTTAGCATTTCTGCAGAAAAGTTTTTATGTTCTTTGGCAGTAGTGCAAGGCTTGCAGCTTTCAGCAATCCAAGATTGTTTTGCAGCAATGCAAGATTATCTCTCCTTGACCAAAAGGCACAGTGTTGTTTCTGTGCCTACAGAGACTTAGAAAGGCTTCTATTAAGACAGTATTTACTAGCAGTCAGCACAGCAGTTTCTGGCTACCCAGAACAGTAATATTACTTCAATTTTGACCTTTATTATATGGTAAATTTTAAATGGCAACTCGTGCACCCAAAAGAACACAATAATATTTTTTCTTTCATAGATAGATAGATTCTGGCATTTCTGCAGGGTTCCAACTTCTATCTCACCAGCACTCCACTTGACACCAGCTGCCAACTAAACATCGAGCCATTTATTACTACCCTTTGAGCCTGATGATCCAGCCAGCTTTCTGTTCACCTTATAGTCCATTCATCCAACCCGTAATTCCTTAGCTTGTTTTCAAGAATGTTTTGGGAGACCATATCAAACGCCTGCTAAAGTCAAGGTATATCATGTCCATTGCTCTCCCCACATCCATAGAGCCAATCATCTTGTCCTAGAAGGCAATCAGATTAGTCAGGCATGACTTGCCCTTCTTGTATCCATGCCTGCCTTCTTTTCCAAGTGCTTAGAAATGGATTCCTTGAAGACCTGCTCCGTGATTTTTCTAGGGATGAAGTTGAAGCTGACCAGTTTGTAGTTTCCTGGGTCCTCCTTCTTCCCTTTCTTAAAGATGGACACATTATTTGCCCTTTTTCAATCATCCAGGACCTCTCCCAATCACCATGAGTTTTCATCACGTCCAACCCCATGGATTTATACACATCCATCTTTTCTAAATAGTCCCTAACCTGTTTTATTGCTGCTGTTGTCTGCTCATCTCCTCCTCAAACTGTACTGCCAGGTACAGTAGCTGGGGGCTGACCTTGCCTGTGAAGACTGAGGTGAAAAAGACATTGAGTACTTCAGCCTTTTCCACATCATCTGTCAGTAGGTTGCCTTCCCCATTCTGTAAGTGACCCACACTTTCTCTGATCTTCCTCTTGTTGGTGACATACTTGTAGAAACTCTGCTTGTTACCCTTGCTAGCTACAACTCCAGTTCTGGTTTGACCTTCCTGATTTCATCCTTGCATGCCTAAGCAATACTCTTATTCTCCTCCCCAGTTGTTTGTCCAGGTTCCCATTTCCTGTAAGCTTCCTTTTTCTGTTGTAGCTCACTGAAGAGTTCCTTGCTTCCCTGATTGCTCCCACCTTTCTGATTTTGGGTGAGCTTGTACCACCTGCAGTAGTCAGCACTAATTTCTTAAGGCCATCTTTAGCCAGATCACTCTTTGCTAGCACTGCAAGTCCTTTATAGGTAGAGAATAATGGATTAGAATTTAGTTTTAAATTGTATGGCCCAGGTGGATTGGCTTGTATGTTTTCCATCAAAACACAGTGAGGTACACAGTGTGAAGCAGTCCTGGGAAGTGATAATGCTAAAAGAAAAGTAGGGGTGGCAGTGGGTTACAGCTTAGAGGGATTTACAGAGACCTAAATCATCACAATTGTGTGGCTAAATGTGCAAAAAGATTACTTTTTATTGGACAAAATAAGGAGGTAGCTGAAGAAATTAAAAAACTGGAAAAATAGAGGAAGAAGCCTTGATCAATTTTATACATTGTATAGAGCTTATTTCTTACCTCCAACTTGTAAACCAATCAGCAAAAGAGTCAGAGCCAAGGTCAACACTGATATAACTTCACCAAAAACCCTGCAGCAGTGCAGTGTACACAGGGCTAAAAGAATCTTTCAGATTTTTTTTGAATTTTTGAATAATTTTTAAGACTTGTTATGGAATGCTGTGTCTGATTCTTATCCTATATTACAAGCTCTTTGAAGCTGGGCTAATTTCTTTACTGTTTACATTTATGGTGTGTAGCACGTGGAGCACTGGATCCTTAATTGATGGACTCATGGGCTAGGTACACACATTCAGAACATGGAGGTGGAATCTAAATTCCTTGATTTTCTGTAACCAGCATAGTTTAGATCAGTAGTGAACACAACACACATTTGCTCTTTGGTGAGGGACAAATCTTAGATTGTGTTTCACTGTTTTAAAGCCAGTCTGTGTGCACCACACTTCTGTTCTGTTATAGGTATATAATGGTTTTGTGTGCTGAGCTTATGTTCTGTTATGGTGTATAGACTGGTTTCTTATAACTTATACTTACTTACTTATACCAGTAAAAGTGTAATGTCTGTACCTGGCCATGGTGAAACTGCAATTGAGTGAATAATATTTGTCTTCATAGACATTATAGTACAATATTGGTAGTTGGTTATCTCAGTATTTAAAATGACATATTTTCAGCAAATATAACTTAATGGGGTTGCCCAAACTCTTGAATCGGTTTTCTTGAATGAATGTGCGACTAGGCCCAGAGTAGATGTACTGAACCAAATAATCTAACCACAGTTTACATACCTTCTTGTATTTGTTTTTTTGTAGGGTCAAACTTATTATCAAAGATTTACTGTGGTAGAATATGGTAAGTGTTGACTGTGTGTTTTTAGATGCAGAAAATAATCTTATTTCTGGCAGTAGGAAGGTTACATGTTGAGAGGATATTGAGACTCAGCTATTACAGTGATGGGTGTCTTTTTAAAAGTGTGCATAATAATACCACTGTAGATTTAAAGTGACTTCAGTGAAGAAGACCCTTTTTATGTAATTTATGGTTACATAAAAACGATTCTTTTATGTAAATTAAGAGAAACTACTCTGAAGTTAATAGGGTTGTATTTGTGTAAATGGGTACGAGAGAGAACCCATTCCCAGCATGAGATTTGGAAGATAGAAGGCTATTTAGGAAACTCATTTTGTACATTTTATTTTGTTTATTTTTAAGTATGTGATATTGAGAATAATTGCAGGAGACAGGAAGGGTTTGGGTTTGCTTGTTCATAACCAGTAGCTACTATGGGGCATGGATTGTATGGGATGTTTCCTGATCATCTGAATGGATGATTGCCACTTTCCACTGTGGAGAAAGGCAGAAACTCCAAATATGCCTGATCATATGCTTCAAGAGAACATTCCTTTTCAATTCTGAATGATCACCTGTGTGAACTGAAATTCACTGATAGCAATGTGGAATCACTAGGTTTACTGATTTCATCTCTCTTGATATGACTTGAGGGAAAAAAAGCAGTGATATGTTGGGTCCCAGTCTGTACAGACAGACCTCTGTACCCTCTTGGAAATCTATTTAAATCATAGGTCTGAGCCTTTAATTCATACCAGTTTTAGTTCAAAAGATTTGTCTTTAGGAAGCCATAGAAATATACTCTGTATTATACAGAAATATTTGTCAGTGATACTTTCTCTCCTGAGTTTGAATTTAATACTTTCCTCTTAATATTATTTAAATTTTCCATTTGAATTTTTTTTAGTGTTGCCAAAATTTGAAGTTACTCTAAAAGCATCATTATATTCTTCAAAAGGCGCTGATTTAGTGGGTACTGTCACTGCGAAGTAAGTAAATCATAAATATACATGTTTCTCTCACAATTGATATGTATCTTAATAAATCATAAAGTAGATATTATAACTCAAAATGTGGACATAAAAATATCAAGTCATTGTTTCCTTCAAGTGCCAGTTTAGCTATTGAGCACAGTGTGTGTTTCATGTGGTTGATGGTACATGACTAAAGACATTTAATATCTGCTTTTATCAAATGACAGACTTTTTAACCTAAGATGGCATGGAGCAGTTTATATTCTATAATATTCTTATCGAGCTGCATCTTATTTGAAACACTTTGTATTGCATTTTTTAAAACAAGAAGCTATAATTGATCAGGGAGGAACCTTAATTAATTAATTAATTTTGCCTGATTCAATCCTTTGTCATCATTTTTTATAAAAGTTCAATTTGAAACGAATACTATTTTGAAAGGAAAAGTCAAGATGTTTTATTTCAAAAGCATCAACATAAAATTATCCCACTTTAATGTAATATTCCATATCCCCTTTTCTCATACTATTTACCAAACTCAACCAGAATTTGGGAATAGTTTAGGCACTCCTGAAGGTGAATTCTAGTGCATTTAATTTTTGGCAAAAATTTTTGCCCAGCTCCATTTTGTTGTTGCTAATCTGTGGAAGTATGACAGACTTTAGTAACGTTGCATACCTCAGTTTCCCTGACTAGCTTGTATGCAGGACTCCCTCCCAATGTACACAGGACTAGGAGATAGCTGCCACTGCAGCTGGCAGAGCTCTCCTGGCCCAGCATGCATTGGGATCAGCTCCTGTGCTCCTTGTCAACCCCTGGGCTAGCACCTCTGGGGAGCCTGCAGCAGGCCAGAACAGGGTAGGAACTGCTCTGTATTGGACTGCTCCCAAGAGGGAGCACATGTAGACATGTTCCCAGTGTAGTTTAATCTACTTAATTTGTTCTACATTATACAGGTACTTGGCATAGATAAGCATTGTTTTGTAATAGGTGTTCCATGTGGTTGAGTGGGGGAGAGGACAGCATTTTCCAATTCTGTGTTCACCTCCCTGCCATGATTTACAAATTCATGCTCTTATTGAGAATAAATCGATTGCAGCTTAAAAAGTCATCTCTTTTCAAGTGGTGCGTGTTCTAGATGTTTATGTAATTTAAGGGGGATAAAATTTTGGTTCACTTTTTTTGTCATGAATCCTTAAAAACTCCAAACCCATTGGGTGATAACGCTTACTCTAAGTGTGCTTGACATGTTCCTTCCAGGTATACTTATGGAAAACCAGTGAAAGGAACTGTAACAGTCATTTGTTCTCTTCTCCTCTATTGGAGAAACCAGCGAAATACCACACAAACAATAGAGGTGAGTTTTTGGTTGACAGGTTCCTAGTGTGATAGATTTATAGATTTTAAATTTATGGGGCCAGAAGGGACTGTTGTGCTGATTTACCTGACCTTTTGTATAATGCAAACCAGAATATTTCACCTAGTAATTTATGCATCAACTCTGAGCTTGATCTTGAGCATACCTTCCAGAAAGAAATTCAGTCTTGATTTAAAGGCTTCAAGCCATGGTGGATCAACTATGGCCTTTTGTGGAATCAGATTTTTCAATTGTAAACGTTTTATGCAAGGCATCAGACTGTTGTATTTCTAAGAGAAATATCATGAACAAATGTTATCACAGTGAATATATAATGGTTAATCATAATAACACCATCATAAAACATTGCTAGGATTTTACTGTAACACTGTTATTGAAAAGAATGCTTATGAAAAACAAGAACCTCTAGTGTTGATATTCCATAATTATAATTTTGTACTGAACTTTACACTTTAACCAGAAATAATTGATAATGAATAAAAAGCTGTTCTGATTTTAGGTGCTTTGAATGGGGGGGAAATGAAGAAACAAATTAAGACCATATTTTCTTTGTTGCAGATAAATGGATCTGTGAACTTCACTTTTAGCTACCTGGAGATGCAAAATTTAACTACTCCTCAAAATCAGTGGTATGGAAGTGACTTCGTGGACGGAGGGCCAGTAGAGATTACTGCTATAGTTACTGAATCATTGACAGGTATGTTATTTAATATAAGAGCTAGGTATAGAAATTTACATTTTTACCAGTATAAGTGATTGGAAACTGGTCTATACCTGTAAGAGAACAGAATTTCAGCATACGCAGACTGGTTTAAAAATGGCAGAACCTGGCCTAAGATTCACCTCCCCTCTTCCCCCCCCCC